GTGTTGGTACTCATTTCAAAGAATTCTTAGTGACGATTACAAATACGTCAAAATTGGGGTTGACATTTCAAAGTTGACAACTTCGTGGTGTTAATGTCAACTTTAATATTGATGTATTCGCAATCCTTACTCCATAACCTTTCAAATGAGCCCAAACATGATGCATTTATCTCGAAAAACAAAAAAGTTAGAATAAAAAACATTAAATATAAATGAAAAGAAAAATCAACTGTACTTTTTACTGGTTTTAAATTTATTAATCGTTTTGTCTTACATGTTTCGATAACAAGTTATCATCTTCAGAGACGCTACAAAGAATTAAATTATAAATTATACTGGTTTTAAAAACATGTGGGTTAATTAACGAAAATGAATAATTCTATTTAAAAAATAACTAAAAAATACTTACTGCGTCAAATTTAATTAAGAAGAAACATTTAAATTAAGGTTCAACGTGAATACAATCAAAGATCGGGGTGTAAAACTAAAATTCTTGTTTGTAATTTGTTTTTGGTGTTAACATCTATGCTGTTGCTGTCGAAATAAAACGTAACGTGAACTTGTTCTTAATCGATAACGGAAAGAAAGAGAGATGTAACTAACTGGTTGTACCACTATTGCGAACTCTGTGTACGAATTAAATTGGTTTTTAAAAATCAAAATCACATTCATATCAAATATATTCTATGTTAAGATCAATAACTTAATTTAATCTTATATTATGTGTTCATTATTGTGTTTCCTACTTTCATTTAACAGATCTAAATGTCGATGAGTTTCAAAATGAAATATTTTCCAAAATGAGATAATATAAAACGAGAAATAGGGAGAAGAAAGGGGGGGGGGGGGAAGGGAAAAGGGAATGTTTGGTCGTAAGGATCCCAAAAAGTGCGAAATTGTGTATACGTACCACCTACACAAAGTCCTCTGCAATTTGGGAGGTTAAGGTTAAGGAATAGGAAAGGGGTTTATCAAGGATTTATAGAGTGGAGTCTTAAATGTGTGTATCTGGTCGTTTAGACATTCGATATTTTGATTTTTGGTTCGACATTTATCTATCTCATATGTTTCTAATAAGTTGAGCTTAAATCCTTTATTCTGTTTATGGAGTAGTGTCAAATTTTTATTAATGTCAAATTCGTGGTTATGGATAATCATATGTCTACCAAAGTTGGAATTTTGGTTATTTTTGTGTTCTTTAATCCTTTGTTTCAATGATCTACCGGTCTCTCCAATATATGTTGCACCACAGGTGTCGCACTCTAATCTATATACACCATTCTGTTCAAGTGTTTGTAATTTATCTTTTGCATTAATTAAAATTTTTCCCAAGGTATTATTGTTACTAAATGAAATGTTGACATTATATTTAAGAAAAGTTTTACGAATAGAATAACCAATATTGCCCGGGTAATTTATTGAGCGATAGATTTTAGTTATGTTTGTTTGTTGTAAGCTTGTTGAAATTAAATGTTGTTGTTTTTTATTATATTTTTTTATGATATATTCAATGTCTGATTCTGTATATCCATTATTTTTGGCTATATTATGGATTATGTCTAATTCTTTATTTCTGCTTTCTTTTGAAAGAGGTGTATTATAGTATCTGTAAATGAAAGCCCAAAATGCTGCAGCTTTATGGTTTTTGTGGTGGTAAGAATTTTTGGGAATGACCGAATCTGTCTGCGTCGGCTTTCTGTAAATGTCGAAAGTAATTAATTTAGCGTTGTTAGTCAAGGTGAGATCTAGAAAATTTAATTTGTTATCTTCTTCAATTTCCATTGTGAAGTTAATATCATTATGCAAACTATTAATGTAGGCATAGAAAGAATGAATTGAGTCTAGGTCTTTGTTATTCCAGATGATTAGTACGTCGTCGACGTATCTGCGCCATAGTAAGATATTAGGATTATTGGTATTTAAAATTTCTTTTTCTAAATTATTGAGGAAAATATNTGATAACTTCATGGTGTTAATGTCAACTTTAATATTGATGTATTCGTAATCCTTATTAAATAATCTTTCAAATGAGCCCAAACATGACGCATTTATCTCGAAAAACAAAAAAGTTAGAATAAAAAATATTAAACGTAAAGTTGACAACAATGAAGTTAGCAACATAATTTCTAAATATTAATACCAACCTTAATTTTTGAGATTTTTACTTGTATTTTCGTTTTCTATGAAAAATTATATTTATTTTAAGACATTTTAATAAAATTACGAATATGTCAAAATTGACGTTGACATTTCAAACCGGAAATTGACCATAACTTCGTTAATATTGAAATTAAATATGTCGTGTTGGTACTCATTTCAAAGAATTCTTAGTGACGATTACAAACACGTCAAAATTGGGGTTGACATTTCAAAGTTGACAACTTCGTGGTGTTAATTTCAACTTTAATATTGATGTATTCGTAATCCTTATTAAATAACCATTAAAATGAGCCCAAACATGACGCATTTATCTCGAAAAACAAAAAAGTTAGAATAAAAATCATTAAATCTAAAGTTGACAACAATGAAGTTAGCAACATAATTTTTAAATATTAATACCAACCTTAATTTTTGAGATTTTTACTTGTATTTTCGTTTTCTATGAAAAATTATATTTATTTTAAGACATTTTAATAAAATTACGAAAACGTCAAAATTGACATTGACATTTCAAACCGGAAATTGACCATAACTTCATTAATATTGAAATTAAATATGTCGTGTTGGTACTCATTTCAAAGAATTCTTAATGACGATTACAAATACGTCAAAATTGGGGTTGACATTTCAAGGTTGACAACTTCGTGGTGTTAATGTCAACTTTAATATTGACGTATTCGTAATCCTTATTAAATAACCTTTAAAATGAGCCCAAACATGACGCATTTATCTCGAAAAACAAAAAAGTTAGAACAAAAAACATTAAACCTAAAATTGACAACAATGAAGTTAGCAACATAATTTTTAAATATTAATACCAACCTTAATTCTTGACATTTTTTCTTGTATTTTCGTTTTCTATGAAAAATTATATTTATTTTAAGACATTTTAATAAAATTATGAATATGTCAAAATTGACGTTGACATTTCAAACCGGAAATTGACCATAACTTTATTAATATTGAAATTAAATATGTCGTGTTGGTACTCATTTCAAAGAATTCTTAGTGACGATTACAAATACGTCAAAATTGGAGTTGACATTTCAAAGTTGACAACTTCGTGGTGTTAATTTCAACTTTAATATTGATGTATTCGTAATCCGTATTAAATAACCTTTAAAATGAGCCCAAACATGACGCATTTATCTTGAAAAACAAAAAAGTTAGAATAAAAAACATTAAATCTAAAGTTGACAACAATGAAGTTAGCAACATAATTTTTAAATATTAATACCAACCTTAATTTTTGAGATTTCTTCTTGTATTTTCGTTTTCTATGAAAAATTATATTTATTTTAAGACATTTTAATAAAATTACGAATATGTCAAAATTGACGTTGACATTTCAAACCGGAAATTGACCATAACTTCATTAATATTGAAATTAAATATGTCGTGTTGGTACTCATTTCAAAGAATTCTTAGTGACGATTACAAATACGTCAAAATTGGGGTTGACATTTCAAAGTTGACAACTTCGTGGTGTTAATTTCAACTTTAATATTGATGTATTCGTAATCGTTATTAAATAACCTTTAAAATGAGCCTAAACATGACGCATTTATCTCGAAAAACAAAAAAGTTAGAATAAAAAACATTAAACTTAAAGTTGACAATAATGAAGTTAGCAACATAATTTTTAAATATTAATACCAACCTTAATTTTTGAGATTTTTACTTGTATTTTCGGTTTTTATAAAAAATTATATTTATTTTAAGACATTTTAATAAAATTACGAATATGTCAAAATTGACGTTGACATTTCAAACCGGAAATTGATTATAACTTCATTAATATTGAAATTAAATATGTCGTGTTGGTACTGATTTCAAAGAATTCTTAGTGACGATTACAAATACGTCAAAATTGGGGTTGACATTTCAAAGTTGACAACTTCGCGGTGTTAATTTCAACTTTAATATTGATGTATTCGTAATCCTTATTAAATAACCATTAAAATGAGCCCAAACATGACGCATTTATCTCGAAAAACAAAAAAGTTAGAATAAAAAACATTAAATTTAAAGTTGACAACAATGAAGTTAGCAACATAATTTTTAAACATTAATACCAACCTTAACTTTTGACATTTTTACTTATATTTTCGTTTTCTATAAAAAATTATATTTATTTTAAGACATTTTATTAAAATTACGAATATGTTAAAATTGACGTTGACATTTCAAACCGAAAATTGACCATAACT